TTTTTTTTTTTTTTCTTTTTTTTTCCTTAATTGGGCACCGATCCATTCGTGGGGAGCTGCACCTGCCGGAAAACGGGTCCAGCGTCCCTCACCGCAATACATGTTCAATTGAGTCATAAGCTGTCTCTACTGGAAACCGGGTCCAGCGTCCCTCATAGCAACTCCTAACCTACGGAGGCTTACAATCAGTCTGTTCATATAGTCTGCTTCGGTGGACTACCCGGGCCTCTTCACCTATTTCGGCGCCAGAACGAAATGCTATGCTAGCCTGTCTGCAGTCCCTCGACCAAGACACAAGAAGAGATGGGAACCCTGAGTTCAAACATCCCCAGGATCCAAGATACCAACTAGAGTGTCCATTGTCTGGTAGTTCATGAGACTCGGGGGTCCTTCCTCCAAGAATGAGACTTTCCCTCCCCGTGTTCCGGGCATGACACCCTGCCTGCTAATTCCCCATACAAGTTTCCCCTAATATGCTCACGGCGGCCTTGGGCCCAATAGCCATGGTTCTAGCACTATGCCCGTGTTTTTCAGTTTTAAGAATCTTACCTTCTGGCCCCATGCTCTGAAAATTCGGTCCCTGGCTGCTCTATTGTTGGACGCCCTTTTGGTCCGTCTCCAGTCCGCCCAGACCAGGGACCGAACTCCTCCCAGCACCAGATTCTTGATGGCCTCATCCGAGAAAAACTTAGATCTGAAGATTCTATCATTCCTAAGTTTCCAGATGACCTGCATGATTGCTGCCCTGCACGCCATGGCTACATACACCCAGCCCTGCCCCACCATTTTTGCATTGTGCAGGACGCCATCTACCACAAACTCCTCATCCCACTGCACCAGGTCTTCGACTCTTTCCCTCCACAGTCCGGCCCACCAATCCCAAATTCTTCTGGACTCAATACAGTCCCACCACAGGTGCGTAGCTGTTTCCTCCGCTCTTTTGCATCTGCAGCATTCGGTGCGGATCGGCATTCTGTTAGATGCAAGCCAGCTTGCCGTGGGCACTATCCGATGAGATTGCAGCCATGCCAAGCTCCCCATCTTTGCAGATGGGATGCGCTTGAGATTCTGCCAGAGCTTCCGTAGTATGGAAGAGGAGATACTCCCCTTCCTCTGCACCCCATTCTTGGTTTCCATCTCCCACCTGTTCCTGACCCCTAACGGTAGTGACCAGGATTTGTTCTGAGACTGGTATCCCACGCAGTGGGAATGACCTTCAATTGTCCCACCGGTGTAACCCCCATAGGGCAGAAAAATTCCTCGTCGCCATTTCTTGCCTTCTTGGTGCAGACCACTACCGACGAGATCCGTTGTAGCGGCACCACCTTTTCTTCTGCCGCTTGCAAGACAAATCCCTCCCTGGCCTCCTTCTCCAAGAGATTATAAGGAGCGACCGCAGCATAATCTTGGTCCAATATGGCTTCAACCTTCCATACCTCTGAAGGGGCAGCCGGTCCGCCTTGTACCACCCAGTGCCCTTCATAAGCGGCGAATGGGTCTGCCAGGATCTCTTTCCAAGTTGCTGGAATACTGTTCGGTATGCCATGCAGTCTTTCTTGGACTGCCCTTAAATGATGCAGGTGCGTTTTCAGTTCCGCTGCAGATCTCCATTGCACCAGCTCCTGGTTCCACAGATCCGTGATCTTCGAGATCCCCCTTTGTATCCAGCTTTTGCCGAACTGTCCTGTGCCATTACTGGCTGACCAGGGGATCCCGCTGTCATCACAGATAAATGTGTTCTCAAAGATTTGCTGAGCGAGAATCTCATCCTTGGTGTGGGGGACCTTGATACGTATCGGCATAACGTGTGACCAAGCTCGAAGTATATCCCGCCAGACTGGGGAGCTCATGGGCCCTTTCACAAAAGAAGGTGTGAGGAGGGCCAGCCAAACATCTTCCCTTCTTCTTAACTCCCATTCTTTCATGAGGATGTCCACCGCCAGCTCCTTCCACGGGTGCTCCGACTTACCGCAGAGGAGTTCAATCACCAATCTGGCCAGCAGTGCGTTAACCTGCAATTCCGGCTCCTTGAGTCCCAGACCCCCATCTGATTTTCCACCCACCACTTTTTTCCATGCTAATTTAGCGATATATCCAACCTCCTCCTTTTCTGTTCCTTTCCACAGGTATCTTGTGGAAACTGACCTGATTTTCCCGTAGGATTTGACATCCAGACTTCTTATCGCCCCTGGGTACCAGATCTGCGAGAAGACTGAGGTATTCAAAAAAAGGGCCCGCCCGAATATAGATGTACCCTTTACCGCTGCCACTCTGCCAATTTTGGAGATAACCGCACGTTCCACCAAGCAACTTGCCGTCTTCTTGTTGTCTGTCATGCTGACCTGTATTCCCAAAAAACGCTCACACTCTCCCACAGGTAAACATTTCAACCCCCAATTCACAGACAAATTAGTCCCGTCCTTGGTAATCGCGATGGACTTAGGCCAGTTGACAAGAGCTTCTGAGAACTTGGAGTACAGATCGAGGCAACACTTGAGGGCTCCTAACGATTCCTTAGTATTGATGGATAAAGCGAACAGGTCATCGGCCATTGCCGATGCCGTGCATTCCTGCCCATTGGGCAGGCGCATCCCACGAATTTCCGGGTTTTTCCTAATCAACGATAATAATACTTCCATCTGAATGACGAAGAGCATAGGGGCGAGAGGGCACCCTTGCCTTAGCGACCGAGTGAGTAGGACTGGACATGAAATTTCCCCGTTGACCATCACCATCCCCACCCCCTTTGTATAAAGAGCCCTCACCCACGTACAGAAGGGCTCCCCAAATCCAGCTAAACGCAGGGTGTTTAGTACAAACTCCCAATTCACTCTATCGTAGGCCTTCTCGAGATCAAGTAACAGGGCTATTACCTCCGGTTGGTCTTTGTCCATGGTTTCCAGGGCCTCAATTGTTAGCATGATGTTATTGAGAATGTTCCTTCCTTGTACAAACCCGGCTTGCTCCACCCCAACTAGCTCCGGCAGGTGTTTTTTGAGCCTGTTAGCCAGGGTTTTGGCCAAGAATTTGTAGGATGTGTTGAGGAGCGAGATGGGACGCCAGTTTCTTATATTCCTCTTGTCTCCTTTTTTGTACAGCAGTGAAATGATGCCCAGCCGCATGTCCTCCCCCAAATCTTGCCCCACCAACACGTTATTAAAAATATCTACTATGACCGGACCCAGTATTTCCCAAAAACAACTGTAGTATTCCATTGGTAGCCCGTCACTGCCCGGGCATTTGCCTTTTTGCATACTTTTCAAGGTAAGGTTCAATTCTTCCAAGGTGATGGGTCTATCAAGATCTAATTTACCTTAAGTGGGCAGGCGCGCATCAAAAGCTTCCCACATCGAAGCTTGGAGTGCATCGTCACTAGGATCCGGGTGAATTGGTCTCGTTGTGGTCAAGATGCTCATGAAGTATAGCCTGGCATACTCGAGAATGGTCCTTGTGTCTCTTGCCCTGGGCTCGAATGTGTCGAAGGGGTGATCCAACTCCACTATTATAGAAGCGCCTTTTTGCTTCGACAAATGCTTAAAGTTCTCCTTTGACATCCTGTCCCCGACATCTAACCACTTGATCTTTGCCCTTTCTGCCCAGACTTTTTCTTTTTCTATTTGCAAATTCTCCAACACGTCTTTCCAATGGTTCCTATTGGACAGCCAGTAGGCGCCATTGTTGGGGTCCATCTCCAGTTTATGTTCCGTCCATTCAACATTACGGATGCAATTTTCTTCTTCCCTGCGTTTGTTGAAGGCTCTGAACTGGGATGCTAGGCCCAAGTCTGTCGCCGCCATCTTATTCGAGACCTCCAGCCATTCCAAGTCAGACTCATAAAACTGTTTGAGTTGCCTTAATCTTATCAGTGATTTTTTCACTGATGCAACCAGCCCTTTGTCCCGGAGGATTTCTGAGTTCAACTTATAATGCCCCTTACCCCGTGTGATATGACCCTCCGGGACAAAGCTGGCCACCACTGGCCTATGGTCAGAGAGGGAGTCGAATGGCATGGAGACCTCCATGGCCCATTCGGCCGCCTTATCTCTGACCAGTAGGAAGTCTAGTCTTAGCTTGGTGTAAGTCTTGTCTTGTCTTGGAGTGTGTGAGGTCCAGGTGTATTTTGAGACCTAGGGGTGCAACTGTCTGAAAGGGTCTGTCAATTCCATACTTTCTATTAAGTCCCACATTGCCACGGTGTCACTCCTTATGGGGTCCGCTACCGAGGAATCCAGGATCGGGTCCAGGATGGTATTCCAGTCACCACCTAAAACCATATTCATATTGTTAGGTAGGATCTTCGGTAAGGTTTCAAACAACTGAATCTTTTCCCGTTTGTCCACCGGGGCGTAGATCGACGCAAAGGTCCATTTTATACCTTCAATGACCACTGGCGCCCATGACCAGCGGCCTAAAGAATCTGAGAATTCATCCATAATTGATATATTTAGGTCCTTGTGGACAAGAATCCCCGTACCACCCTTGGTACCATCTGCGGGGGCCCAAAACTGAGGACCCTGCCATTTCCACTTTGCTTCCTCTATTTTGTCTTCGTTTAGTTTGGTCTCCTGGAGTAGAGTGACGTGGACCCCGTGCTGGTGAATCCATGTTTTGAGCCTTGTCCATTTCATTTTTTTATTTGAGTCCCCAAGACCCCTAATGTTCCAGGAGGCCACCTTTAATTTATTCATTAGGGCACTGTCCCTCTAAGTTTTGGATGAGGGAGAAGTCATCTGGGGGGAAAGTGGAAACTGTCTCCCCATCCGCAGTGCCTACCCTGACCACAATCGAGGATCTCGTGATCGGGCCCGCCTGAGCCGTGGAGAGTGTGGTTTTTCTCTTCCTCTCCTCCCCTGCCTCTGTGCAGTCTCCTTTGCCCTGCCATGGTGAGGAGAGGAGTCTATCGAAGTAGGCAGAGAACAGATTGGTATCTGCAGAAAGTTGTTGATTATATTCCATTAATACATCCCCCGAAATCCCCTCCGCTATATATACCATGTTTGCATGTAGCAAGCTTTCATCTTTTGCCCAGTGAAAAGGGCACCACACCCCCTTGTTTTGGGCCAATTGTTCTAGGTCCGACTCAGTGGGTCTGACGTCAAATGGGGCAATGAATAGCTGCACTTTGCTGTGATCATTACCTGCCCGCTAAATTTTCCTGGTCCCCATTCCCGAAACTGCACGAACCAGGGGGTTCCGTCCCAAGTAGTTTTTTACTTTTAACAGCATTTCTGCCTGCGATGGGCTGCTATCTACCGGCTTTGGGGTAATCAATTTAATATTCGTGCCCATGGTATATGTGAGAAAAACAATCCCTTCCGTGGTTTTCCTACAGATCAGTGGAACCAAATATTTGACTCCCTGTGACTTACCAACAGTTATATTCCTCTTTTGCTTCCTCCGTTTCCCAGAGGATAGCGTTCTCCCCCTCTTTTCCCTGGAGGGACCATCCTCATCTGTCGATCCCTCTGAATCTCCTAACCCTCCTGCCGTTGAATTTTGTTGGACGGAAGATACCACCGATGACTTAGACTTTTCCGACATCTCATTTTCTTGAGGGCACACCTCACTCCTAGTGTCTGGAGCTTTCATGATTTCGTCAGTGTCCTCGGGGGTTGGGATGGGCCCGACGGTTGTGTGCTCCTCCATGAACTCAGCAATAACGGGAGCGGCGCCACCTGGGCTTGTTGCAGGCTGCCTCGGGTCTGTCTTGAGGACAGTGTCTCCCTGTCCCGCAGTCTGCATTCCCGGGTTTGCCAGGTATGGTTGCTCCCCCCCTTGTCCTTCCTTGCTGGTTGATACTAGAGTACCCTTGTTATCATTTAGTTCAGTGTGCTCCTTCGGGTCGGACATCGTATGACCCCCCTGGGTCCTATGATCCCTAATCTAGGCCACACCTCTCTCGCTTGTCCTGGTTTTACCAGTTGAACCAGTGGTGGCACTGGCCCCTGGCCTACTCAGATTCTCTACCTGGCTATTCAAAACACTCTGGGTGTGTGCAGATGAACCCACATCCTTCCCCTCCTCCTCTGTTCCTGATTTGGCAGATTGAGATGTACCTATTACGTCCTTCATGGTAGGTTGTGACGTCGAGATTGATGACTGGGTAGGCTCTACAGGGCCAGAAACCAAGGCATCCTCCCTTGCTTGGATGGTCATCGAAACTTTCTTCCCCACCATCTCCTTCCCCACGGTCTTGGACTTCTCTGCGTTTGCTGAGGCCGGCTGAGCCCCTTCCCCAAAACGGGGGTCTGGTGACCCGGTCATTGTTGACGTGGAGGCTGTGCCTGTCAGGTGTTGAGCCAGTACCCCCCCTTGCCTCCCGGACTGCCCGAAGGCGAAAGGTACTTGTGTCCCATTGGCCCCATAGGTTGAAGCTTGGGTGTACCAGGGAACATTCTGTCGGTGTTGGCCTGGGTTGGGATTGGGAAGCCATCCGGCTCCCGCTCTCAGACCTCCTCTGGCCTGAACGGCCGTTGCCCCCAAAAACTGAGTCTGTGTCTGTGACCCCCCCCGGGTCTGTCTTTGCTGCCCCGTGTTGATCTTAATGTTCTGGGGGCAGGTTTCTGAGGTATGGCCGTATTCCCGACACATCGAGCACCAGTCAGTCATCTGGGTAACAACCTGTATCCTGATACTTGTACCATTCGTTTGTGGCCAATCCAAAAAATCCGGAATCCTGTCTTTTTTGTCCCGGGGAATGTCAAATTCAGATTGTTTAACTTGGAGCACTCGTCGTACCGCTCCGCGGGGTACTGCTTGGCAATCTTCCCCACGACAAATTCAATCTGAGATTTGACAAACGGTGCACCTAACCATGGGACACGCAGAGCCATTACCCAAATTTTACTAACTTCTGCTTCTGTCTTTTCAGCGGCAAGCTCCACAGGCGACATCCATTTTTTGAATGTTAGCTTGTACGTGTTACCATCTGCCTTAATCTTGTGATTCTTCATGTTTATCATTAGCTCAATCAGTTTCTTGTCCCTTGGGAAATATGACATGGCATTGCGTC